TTTTGGTACCGGGGATCCAACTCAGGACCTTGTGCTTGCTTGCAAGGCAGGCGCCGGAACCACTGAGCTAAATCCCCAGCCCTCGTGATTTGTGTTTTTTTGCTTAGTGTCATCTTCTCCATTATTACTCTTTTCTTAATTCTTGGTGGTTTTGATTTTAGTATATATATGTGATTGTTCTAGCACTGCCTATACCATTCTCTGAGTAGCTCTCCTGTGATGATGTTGTCTGCTGTCCTACCTCAGCCAACTACTTCTATGGTCATACTCTAGCCAGTGCATTTGTTCATCCATTTATTTATTTTTGTGATACTGGAGATTAAACCCAGGGCCTTTGCATTGAGCAATATCCCCAGCACTCTTTTTGGAGAGAGGGTCTTGCTAAGTCACTAAGTTGCCCAGACTGGGCTTAAAGTTGTGATCCTCCTTCCTCAGCCTTCCAGAGTGCTAGAATTATGAGTGTACAGATCCATACCCAGTTTAACGAGTGCTTCTTAAACTGTCCATTGTAAACAGTGAGTATATTTTCTGCCTACCATGGATGAATTAATTTGTAAAATCAGTTACTCGGAAATTAAAATACTGTTGGTCACATCACTATCCAAATTGTTATGAAGTTACTAATTAGTTACTCTGAATTTCTGTACTTTCATTATAGATGGACAAGCATTCATAGATAACACTTTTTTTTTTTGGTACCGGGGATTGAACTTGGGACCTTGCACTTGCAGGGTGGGCGGTGGAACCACTAAGCTGAATCCCCAGCCCAGATAACACTTTTTGAGTAACACTCTTTTTCATCTTCATTGTTTTGTTGGTTGGTGATAACTACAACCTTTCCTTAATTTCAGTTACATTCATAACACTCTTGAATTCTGTTTTTCTCGCCCACTCTTTCTAAGTACCCTATACTGTGGTTCTTTGATTCCACTGGGATGTCCTTTCCATTGGTCCTACCACTTTGTTACTGCCCTGTACCTAACTAATGTGATCACTGAAATAATTTCATTTATTCATCCACTCATTCATAGAGGGGATTGAACCCAAGCCCTCTTGCATGCTGGGTACATGCTATACCATTGAGTTACATCCCCATCCCCTGATTTCCTTTTTTTTTTTTGGTACCAGGGATCAAACTCAGCACCTCGGTGCTTGGGAGGCAAGCACTGTGCCACTGAGCTGAATCCCCGGCCCCCCTGATTCCCTTTTTAAAAAATTTATTTTGAGACAGGATCTCACTGAGTTGCCCAGGCTGGCCGCAAACTTAAGATCATTCTGTCTCAGTCTCCTGAGTATCTGGGATTACATTTGTGTACCACTGTTCCCAGACTCTTACATCTTTCTTGAATTGTTCTGCTTGGTTGGCCAAACTACATTTCTGGTTAAATCCAAATTCTACCATCTCTGCACTTGGATTTATACAAGTGGGCTTGAGGAGAACATATCTACATATATCAGTTTTTTGGTGCGTGGGCTGCAACCCTTATCGTGGGTTCTTACCATTGCCTGGAATATACTGTACTTCCCTAGTTCCTTTATGTTTCCGCTATTGTTTCACACCTGGTCCTCCAATGAGGTTCAGCACCACCTGTGTTAGTTTGTGTCACTAAAATGATGTACTTGACACATACTGCTCATGAAGAAAACAAGTTTATTTAACTCACAGTTTGGAACTGAATAGACCTCTCTCAGAAATATCAGTAGGTAGCAGAACTACTTTCTGAAGCCATGCCCCCAGTGACCTAAGTTCTCCCACTAGGCCCTACCTCCCAATAACACTTGTGTTAGTTACTTTTCTTGTTGCTGAGACAAACTATCCAAAACCCAAAGTTAAGAGAGGAAAGGTTTATTTAGCTCACAGTTTGTAGAGGTTTCAGTCCATAATTGGCTGGCTGGCAGGGTGGCACATGGCAGAGATGCAACACTTCATCGTGGACTGAAGGTAACAGAGCAACTAGGGACCTTAACAGCATCTTCCTGCCCCTTTTATCCAGCCTACTTAGGGTGGGTAGCACTCACACCCTTTAATCCTACTGCCCTTGATCCTAGCATTGCACCATGAATCAATCCCAGCATCACACATTCTAGATCTAGCTACCTCTGAAAAAGCCCCACCTATGACTGCATGAGGCTTTGGGGGAACATCTAGACGCAAGCCATAACAATACCACCCTGGGACCAAGCCTTTAATCATCAAGTTTGATCTCAGATGGTCGGGAAGGATATCTGACATGAAACAGGTGTTACATTCCTATAATCTTGGCACTCAGGAGGCTGAGGCAGGAAGATTGCTGTGAGTTCAAGGCCAGCCTGGGCTACACAGTGAGTTCAAGGTCAGTCTGAACTACATAGTGAGACTCTGTCTCAAAAAACACCTCACACCCCAAAATAACTGGTGCACTAGCTTCAGCTGAACACTTGTACTTACTATCCCCACCCTGGTGGCAATGTACTGCAACCATTTTGCGGTTTAACTCTTCTACCTGTACTCATCTCATGTTATCTTAGTCTCTTAAGGAATACTGTAATGGCATGGCAAAATGGACCTTTAAAAATTAAGATTTTTTTCCTTTAGAGATGAGTGGTTTCTCACCTTCCTCAGCCCTAGGGCATAAATTGCTACCTCTCATCAACTCAGATAAAAGATCAGAATATGCAGATAACTGGCAATTAGAAAATGTATTTTTTTATTAATCTAGCTTTTTATTTATTTATTTTTCCTTTGATACCAGGGGTCAAACTCAGGACCTTGTACTTGCGAGGCAGGTGCAGTGCCACTGAGGTACATCCTCAGCTCTTAATCTAGTCTATAGACTACTGCATATTAATTCTTTTTAATGAGAGAGAAAAACATTAGATAAAATTCAAGTTGCCTTTACCTTCTCTTCTTGGTTATCACTTCTCCTTACCCGAATCTTCTAGGACATTTAAAAATACTTTTACATATAAAGATGTTATTTTTGTCTTGTAAAAGTACAGTTCTTTGTGCTGTATGAGATCGGGTTCAAGATGGAATGTAGAGAGGGTGAAAATAACGCTAGTCACTACTTTCATTGAGAAGTAGCTGATAAGAGTTTTTGTCTGGAGTGGTGAGGTAGACATGAGGAATAGTGGACACGCTAAAAAACTGTTTAGGATTAGTCAACCTAAAGTGAGTGATAGACTGTCCAAAGCAGAGTTTATTATTTGGGACTAGTGCAATCTAAGATATGTATGCTCTGGAGGACCATGGGGACATTCAAGGATATTAAGGTTAAGAGGAACCTTTTAAAGACAAAAAGAAGTGCACGTATGCCAGGTGTGGTGGCATGTGCCTGTAATCCCAGCACTTGGGAGGTTGAGGCAGGAGGATCGCTGTGAGTTCGAGGCCAGCCTGGGGTACATAGTGAGTCCAAGGCCAACCTACACTATACAGCGAGACCCTGTCTCAAAAAAAAAAAAAAATGTGTATGTAAGCTGTTTCCATCAGCTGTTGGTGTGTATTGCAAGAGTTGACAGTGTTTTCACATGTCGATGCGCAAGTGGCTCATCTAGAGTACTTGGGATTTGAGGAATTCCTTGCACAGGGACTGAGACCTATTGTAGCTGTGTGGCCTGTTCCCTTATTTTGTATAAATGAATCTCAACTTCATATAGACGTTTAACCAGGTACACAGCATGTAGCATTAGCAATAGCACAGACTCTACCTTGTTCAGCAAGTAAAGAATTATGAACTATTCTATTATCTAAAACCATGGTAGCAAGATAATTTAATGAGTGCTGCTATGGGGCAATAAGTAGCTTTTGCTGTGGAGTTTGTAAGGATTCCTAGAAGAATGGATAGGTTATTTTTCATTTCTTCATTAGCTATGCCATACCACGATAGAAAAGAAACTAATTGAGGTTCCATGTTTCATCGGGTAACTCACGTTTGACCCTTAGGTGTGTGTGTTGAGGAAAGTAGTGCAACGATTACTCCACTGATTTGTTTCAGATCTATTATCTCTTGACAGCAGTGTAGTGAAATAACCTATGAAAGAAGAGAGTCACACCTAAATAGAGAGAGAGATGTGAGGTTGAAGGGGTATGTAGAAAGAAGAGGGACAGTAAGTTTATTTTTCAGCCTGTGGTACTTTCAGTTGTGGTACTTTGAAAAGTCCCCATGCTGCCTTCTTTCAAAAATTGGAAATTTTTGGTTTGTGTTTTATGGTTAATATTAATTTCATTTGAGTATGAGATATTCAACTTTAATGAAAGAGAATCTTTATTCCAGAATATTGTCAGCAGTTGAGGGTGTGGTGGTGTATGCCTGTGATCCCAGCACTCGGGAGGCTGGGGCAGGAGGATTGCTGCGAGTTTGAGGCCACCCTGGGATACATAGTGTGTTCAAGGCCAGCCTGAGCGAGACCCTGTCTCAAAAACAACAATTAGGGCTGGGAATGTAGCTCAGCAGCACAGTGCCTGCCCGGCAAGCGTGAGGCCCTGGGTTCGATTCCCGGTACCAAAAAAGAAAAAACAAAGCAAAACAACAATTACAAAAAACAAACAAACAAACAAACAAAAAAACCCCAAGAATCTTTATTTGGTTACTTTCTAGCCTTGCAAGTTCAGTAATAGAGTGCTACCACTTAGGAACGTTGGCGTATTATGTTGATTAAATAATCTTCTATTTCTGTTTATTGATTTTGTGTTTTTGTACAGGTTGCTTTCCTGTTGCATCTTTGCTATCATTTCCTAGACCTTGCTCCATGATTTAACTTGAAATTCTGAAATGAAGATGGAGGAGGCAGTGGGAAAAGTGGAAGAGCTCATTGAGTCTGAAGTCCCACCAAAAACATCTGAACAAGAGACAGCCAAGGAGGAAGATGGATCTGCAGAACTGGAACCTCAAGTTCAAAAAGATGGTGTATCAGATTCTACAGTTCTTTCTTCAATGCCCTGCTTATTGATGGAACTGAGAAGGGACTCTTCTGAGTCTCAGTTAGCCTCCACAGAGAGCGACAAGCCAACAACTGGCCGAGTTTATGAGAGTGACTCCTCTAATCATTGCATGCTTTCCCCTTCCTCTAGTGGTCACCTGGCTGATTCAGATACATTGTCTTCTGCAGAAGAGAATGAACCCTCCCAGGCAGAAACAGCAGTAGAAGGTGACCCTTCAGGAGTGTCTGGTGCCACAGTTGGTCGCAAGTCTAGGCGTTCCCGTTCTGAAAGTGAGACATCTACCATGGCTGCCAAGAAAAACCGGCAATCCAGTGATAAACAGAATGGACGAGTCGCCAAGGTTAAAGGTCATCGGAGCCAAAAGCACAAGGAGAGGATCAGACTACTGAGGCAGAAACGGGAGGCTGCTGCAAGGAAGAAGTACAACCTGCTTCAGGACAGTAGTACCAGTGATAGTGACCTGACTTGTGACTCAAGCACGAGCTCATCAGATGACGATGAAGAGGTTTCAGGGAGCAGCAAGACAATCACTGCAGAGATACCAGGTAGAGGATGTTTTTTAAACTGACTGTAAAGCACCTGATGGCATTTCTCAACTGTCAGACTCAGTTAAATGAGTGACACTTGAAAAAATCCAGGAGACCTGCAGCTCTGTGTAAATTTGAAGACTGCAGTCTATTAGCAAGACATGGCCAATTATTTAAAAACAAACAAAAAACCCTGTTCTTAGGTTTTCAGTGCACTTTAGCACATCAGCAAAAAATTATTTAAATGATGAACGATAGAGACAAGATTATTTTTAAATAATGGAATTTCTCACAAGTCTCTTTCTCTGTAACACATTACCTGACTCCCATCATTGCCTTTTTAGCACTGTTTAGATTTAATACTCTAGATTTAATACTCACTGTTAGCATTATTACTAAGTATGTTCTCAGGAAGAGGCACCTTGCTTTCTTATATAGCTGCTGCACTTGAGCTTATGGTGTCTGAAATAACACATTCTACCTTTTGTTGAAGTTTTATAATAACTGTTCTTCCTGAAACAGTAATTTTGTGTGTTTTCTCCCTGATTTGATGAATGATAAGCTAGTTATCCTTGTTGCACATTTTTCTATCCTAGGTTTTCACTCACATTGGAATGAATGGCTTTTGCAAAATTTTTCTTTAGTCCCTCAGGCTTTAAAAAGTTTGTTAGAAATTTGCTTGTTCCAGCTCACATTGGTGAAAGGATCTGTAATTTATTACATGTTTGACATAGCCTCTTTCTGCATATCATATTTGATACTGTGTATTATGGCAATCTTGATACTTTATAATGGAAGAAGGATATCTGGCTGGTACGTAAGTGGTAAATTGTCATTATCGAAAGGACTTAGGTGATTAGGAACATTTTATAAATTGCATCGTGTTTAGTACATCATGACAGCATTATTTATTGCTGCATTAAAGAGGGGGAAGTTTTGGTTTTCTAAAGTTTTATAAGTGACACCCCCCCCCCAGTTTTCTGTTTCTACATTTGAAAACAGCATATTGCTGATTTACAAAGAATATTTCAAGAAAAATCATATTGGTTACTTAAACCTATAACTAACCAAACTTATAAACTGAACAAGAATGATAGGTTTTAAAGCACTTTATAGGTGTTCAACTTAAAATAATAAAAGTCTCATCCATATAGTATATTAAATATGAGTTTTAAACAGTCTTTAGAAATGCCTCTTACAGTTTTTGCTGTCTATTGAATTCCTTTGGTAGTTTCTTATATTAAAACTACTGGGTAGGGAATTTAAATGAAGCTTATGAGAGAAGTAGACTTTGGGGTTTGTTCTAAGTAACAAAGCAGACTTTGTTCTAAGGCATGTTCTAGGTATATTTTAGTTTTACATTTAGAAATATTTTTAAGAAAGCCTTATTAACTGTGAAAAATTGCCCATGTGTTCTTATATCTTGTTCTGATCTGTTAATCAAGATCTTGATGAATCTCATTAATAATGCTTAATTCCACTTACTAAACAAGTTCTTAATGTTCCACCCCAATTTCTTGACTTTTTATGGGAAGAAAAAATTTTCTTGGATGATAGAAAGAACCTCATTATAGAGATGACATGAGAAATGCCTTGGTGAGCCTCTTTCTTTTTGGCTTACACACAGATAGGTTAGTGTGGTTTGTTTGTATTTGACTACCCTGACCACTGTTTAAAACTTCTAAATTCCAGTGGTTTGTTTTTTATCTATTCTGATTGTATACAGTACAAATCAAACATCAAAGTAAATGAATATGAATCTATAATTTAGTTTCTATTTTTTATGACACTTAGCAAGGTTTTGACTTCTGAAAATGTGAAGAGTTTCTAGGTAATCATGGAAACTCAAATTGTAGCTTAAAAGTACATGACCACTGTATATGACTGCTCATGGTGTGTACTGCACAGTTTTGGGAGAGGTACCATTCACGCAAGACAGATATCAATGGTCTTTTCTGTAATTATGCAAAGATGGGACAACCTAGAGTTTAAATATTAGGAATTTCAGGTCAACTGTCCATGTTATTATGCCTGAAAAATTGTGACACTGTACATTTTTTAATGTATCATTTATATGTATTTTAGTTTTCTAAGTCACATTATGACTTCAAGTTTGAGGGGAGGCACATTCAACTTTATAGCAAGAGCAGTTGTTGAACAGGTGATTCTTTTTTTTTTTTTTGAAACAGTTCAGGTTGGCCTTGAACTGTGTAGCCCAGGTTGGTCTTGAACTTGTGGGGATCCTCCTTTCTCAGTCTCCTGAGCGCTGGGATTGCAGGCATGTGCTGCCATGCCTGACTGAACAGTTGATTTTTTTTTTAAAAGAAGTTGTTAGTACATGTGTGCAGTACACAATTGTATTCATTGTGGGGAGTTGATATATGTATATAACACATCTTAATTCTTTTTTCATCCCTTTCTCCTTACCTCTCTACCTGCAAAAATTGTGTTATGAACTGATTTGAATGCAACAATGTGGACATTAGTTGAACTTAAACTGGATGTGCCTAAGAGAATCTCTTAGATGTGGAAATTTGAATCTAGCTGTTTACACAGAATTTCTTCTGTTTACACAAATTATTTCATCAAGATAAAACCAATTTAGTAATTCAGAAAATGCTTTATTTATAAGCTTTTGGCAGCAGCTTAAAAGTTGAAATTTCCTGAATATGCTCTTACAACAAATAATTTATCAACCAGTGCATTGTCTTAATGCAAATAATGATGCAGGTGAATACAGTACATGATCATACTTAATTTATTTTGATATGCAGGCAGCAGATGTTTATAAAGTTGTTTTTTAAAAATATTTAATAGTATCAGCACTATACATAACATTTTCTTGAAGTTTTTGGAAATACATGAATGTTATAAGAATTTATTTGGAGGTATCAAGATAATTCTGGCAGTACTTTTATTTGAGGGACTTAGAGATGAGCAAAGAATTTTATAGTAAATTTATAGCATTTTATATTATGTTAATGTAAAAATACTATGTGGTGGTTATCTTGAATATTCAAGGCTTTTATCCAGTGTCTGATTGATCTTCGTAGAGTGTTTTAAAGTGCTTTATGTATTTTCTTTGCGATTTTATTATTGGAGCATTCTTTTTCATAGCAGGGCCAGTTTCTCTATACAGTCACTTTTGAGACTAGCTCTGGAAGTCTGCTTTTGGAGGGGCTTTGATTTTGGTTAATACATGTATAAGTAATGGGCATTAGACTTCAGTCAGCTCAGTAAGTTAATTCTCTGAACAAACGTGTGCATCAGTATACATGAACAGCCAGAAGAAGTTTTTCCAGTAACTGTTGCTTTTCATAAATACTTAGCATAGTGAACCACAGGATAGTGTCATCTTATCTTGGCTCTAATGGCCTGCTTTTGTATGATGTAATGGTCTACCGTTTAAATGCCTACTCAGACTGAAGTCCCAAAAATAGTGACTATCATAGGTAGATAAGAGTCAGTTGTTTTGGTTGGTTGCCTTTTTTTTTTTTTTTGGTACTGGGGATGGAACTCAGGACCTTGTGCTTGCGAGGCAGGCGGTGGAACCATGAACTAAATCCCTGGCCTGGTTGCCTTTTTAATCGAATGTCAGGGAGGCTATTGAGGACAGCTATCTACAGTCACCTGAATTCTTAGTCCACATGGCCAGGCCAGACCAGTTCAGCCCTATTGGAGCCAGGATCTCAGCATTTGTTATTCACTATATATTTATGCACTGACGTATATCATGATAAACTATGATTTTTTGATGAGTTAACTGTTGCTTGAAATGAAAAAAAACTTTTTAAAAAGTTATAAGTCCTTTATAGAAATATTTGGGAATAGGAAAGCATGAAGTAGAAGGTTAAAAGTACCATGATTATGCTTTTGCTAACATTTGCCTGTTTTGCTTTCCATAATATCTTATAAAAACTTTCATACTGGATATACTTCTGCAGTCTTTTTCCTCTTAACATAACTTTTTGAGCTTTCAACTAGAACACTATTCTGTAGAATATTTGGATTTTGAATACCTCAGTTAACTGTAAAAGTAACTTCTCTAATATTGGTCATTTGGGCTGTTTAAATTTTGCTCTTATGGGTGAGAGTGTGAACACTTAGAGCTGTTGACCATATACTGCCATACTATTTTTAAAAAATAAATCACTTATTCCATCTAGGAGTTTGAGTTTTATGCATTATATTCTTCCTATTGAGTATTTCTAAAAAATCTTGCTGATTTGGTAGAAGAATCATATCTTAAGGTTAATATGTATTTCTTTGATCACTAGTGAAGTTGAAAAATTACGTTTGGCCTTTTGTATTCCTTTTTTTTTTGTACCGGAGATTGAACTCAGGACCTTGTGCTTGCGAGGCAGGCGTGGTAACCACTAAGCTAAATCCCCAGCCCTTGTATTCCTTTGGTAAACTCTTTTTGTTTTTTGCATGTTTTCTTCCTAGTGCATGTATTTTTTTTTTCATTAATTTGTGTATTCTTAGCACATAGGGATTTGTTTGGATAAGTATTTATTTTAGGCAGTGGGGGTTCATAGTAAAAGATAAGGCCCTAAGACCATATAGGGAGTCCCACGAAACATGGTGATTGATTGACCTTTCTCCTAGCTTAAATATGAAGTGACTCAGTGGCTAAAAACCCCTGTCCCAATTATAAGCCTTTTGTAACCTGAGTGTTTTTGGTAGCTATTGAGGAGACTCACTAGATATATTAATACATTATTTGGAGACAGAGTATTCAGGTACAATGTCTGCTTTCAGGTTTGAAAATACAAACTAGATAGATACAATTCATGCAGTTTTTAAACCTGACTATACATTAGAATCACTGGGGGTGAGTGTAGGGCCAGGCAGGGTATTTAAAACTTTTTATGCTGGCCCCATTCCAGCTCAGTTAAATTAGAGTCTTTGGGCTTTGATCTTAGGCAGAAACATTTTTAAAGCTCCCTGGTGATAACAGTGAGCAACCAGGGCTGACAGTTACTCAGGTAAATTGCAGGTGAGCAGGGTGCCATGAC